AACAACAACAACAACAACAACAAAAAGATTATTTTGTAAACTAATTAAAAGATTAATGTGAGAAAAATAAATAAAATATGTTATAATAAATTAAGGGTAGAGAAAGAGAGAGAGAGAGAGAGAGTGATTAAAAAATTGACGGTAGAAAAAATTAAATGGGAAAAGTAATGAAAAGAAAAAACAAACAAAAAAAGAAACTGTTTTCACAAAATAACGTGTGCAATTTTATCCGAAATTTTGGTGTTGTTTGAATAATTTATTTAGAATTATTCAAGTTTCTTTTACATACGCTTTTGAAATTTTGTTTAAAAGTATCAAAATATGAATGAATATGTGAACGGATTCATTAGATAATTTTTTCATTGAATTTTTAATCAAATTATAATAATCATTATCATTAATTCGTCATATTTTTCTTATCGATTATCTTAAAAAAAGGTTTCTATGATACAGACTGATACCATAAATTATTTTACGATCTCTTTACCTTTCCATTTTTATTTCCTTATTTTTATTATTTCCCCCCCCCCGCCCCCCCCATTTCTTTCATTTTATAACATTTTCGTGAATTCCAGTCGTTTCGAATGTTTCGACAGACACGCAAATGCGAATACGCGGAGTCGGAGAGATTTAATCGTAAAAAAAAAAAAGAAAAAAGAAAGAAAGAAAAGTTAAAAGGAAACAAATCCGTTCTTTCGAATAATAATAATAAAACGAAATAATATAAATATGTTATATTGAAAAAGTATTTAATCATAAAATACCAGTCCTATTAAATTATTACACAAATAAAAAAAAAAATTTGTTGAATGCTTGAATTGAATGCATGTTTCTTCAATGCTTGAATTTTATTTTTTCTATCTTTTTTTTTTTTTCATAATTGATGGAAAACAATTCTATATCGAATATTTTAATATAAAAAAAATTGAATCGATTTATCTTCTTCTTCTTCTTTTTTTTTTTTTATAGAAAAAGTTATAAAATGTCAGAGAGGTTGGGGGTAAGGTAAAGAAGAAGAGTAGTATACGAGTAGAGGCGTAGAATGAAAAATTCACACGTATAAACGCACTTTGTTTTCCTGTCGTGTTATGTTTTTTTTTCTTTTTTATTTTTTTTATTTTTCTTTTCAAGGACTCCACCACACCACCCCTTTTACCGTGCATAAAAATCATCTGTAACTTGGTCGGCTCGTTTTATAACCGTGATATAAAATATTGCGCTCGTAAACACAGTGGTTGTTGTTGTTGTTTGTTGTGTGCGAGCTCGTGAAAATCTAAATATGAAAGATAATCGAGACTACGTAAAACTTGGCTCATGTATTACGGGTTATCATGCTGAAGTATGGAAACAATGGAGAGAGATAGAAATAAATTTAAAAAAAAATCCTAGGAAACAAGAAGAGACGAAAAAGAAAAAATGTATCTTTTTTCTTACAAAATTACAATCAATTATTTAAATGTAAATTAAAAATACAAATGAATACCTGACTCGATCATTATAGGTGATGGTTGTACAGCATGTTGTTCTTTGGCGATGTTGAATTCCTATAAAAATATATATACAAAATAATATATTCTTTGTTAATATAATGTTAAAGATAAATACAAAAAAGAAAAAGAGAGAGTGAGAGTAATAAAGGGGAGTATTAATTTTCTAAGCAAATTAACATCTAAAATTATCAACCCTTATGAGATCGAAACATCCCTTTGTTTTTCTCTCACTTTCCCAATGACTTTTTCTTTTTCGTTATAAAAAAAGAAGCCAATTAACGTATAACACACACCGAGGTGCTCGTTATTTAATTGGTTAAAACCTTTTATTACGTTGGAAAAATTCGAATATATTTTATCCTTGTATGTTTTTTTCGCTGAAATTAATAACCGATAGAAAAAAAAAAAAACAAAAAAAAAAAAAGAAAAAAGTATAGAAAAATTTTGTATATATCTATATTTATATATATTTTTAAACATATAAAATATAATTTATCAGAAT